TGAGTGCTAGGATGGTCCTCAAAGCCTTTATGCACTCTATAAAGACTTCTAAGAATTGACATCATTGACATTTGATTGAAGTAGATATGTACCAGTCGTGGCTTTAACTACAAGGCAAAGGTTGAAAGAACATTTTAGTTCCTCTCAAAGAAAAGCAGTAAGACCATTGGTGGTTAAACAAACAGAATATCCAAAGAGAGAGAAAACTGCCAGGTGTGGGAAGTCATCCGAAGTCTTTATCTTTTCCTTCCATACCATCTTATTGTTCAGTTTAGTTGCTCACCAAATGCAGATGACTTTTACCTTCCAAGATGATCATGCCAGATCCCTCTTGTGCCTCTTGCTCTGGCTGGGAAGAGTCAACACACAGAAGTCAACCAGGTTGCAAAGACACGACACTCTGCGTGACAGCACTACCCAAAAACTTGCCATGTTTGGACATGGTTGCAGAGGGTTCAAGGTTATCTGGAGGGAAAGGCCATCCTGGAATTGACTTTTGCTCTTAAGGTGGGGGGGGGACACAGTTATTTTTATTATTCAAAGAACCCAATTAATCAATCTATCAATCAATCAGTCAATGACAAAAATATAGATTTATCTCAACTGCACGGCCCTTTTAGAAAATTCACAGCTTAGCTAGAACATAAAGCATTCTCAGTAGTGTCCCTGGGTACAGAAAAAGACAGCTGATCCCATCTCTTTTGCCTGGAGTCCCCCCACTGATTGATGGTAGCTATGCAGCTTCATATTGGCACAACAGTTTCCTTAAGTCCACTGGGAACATCTAACTAAAACCAGCCATGAACTTAATTTTCTGGAGTTCTTCCTGAATTGGCTGGTTTGATTAACCCAAGCATATTAGCTCCATCCTAAGACTCAAAAGAGAAACACTGCAGATATTCACATGCCAAAAGACAGGGACGGGCTAAGGTATGTTTGACTAGGAAAAAAAAAAGGCAAATCCAAACCAAAATGGAAATCAATTTGAAAAATGACAATGGTCATGTCCATTCACAGATTAGTATCAGTTTGGCAACCAAGGATCACAACTGCACAGCAATCACTCGTTACTTCTGACTGAGAATGGATTACTTGCAGATGCTCTGAAATGTAAATCAGTGAGTGGGTGGGCTTGGCCTGTTGTTTATCTTTTAAACATTTTTCCATTAATGGCCTTGAGTACAGTGGGGTATTTACAGTGATTGTTAAAAAGACATATATACACATTTCCTTTGCTTTTTCACCTCTACAAACATCAAGGAAATGTTGGGAAGGAGAGGAGAGGCGAGGAGAGGCGAGGAGAGGCGAGGAGAGGCAAGGCAAGGCAAGGCAAGGCAAGGCGGAAAGGAAAGGAAAGGAAAGGAAAGGAAAGGAAAGGAAAGGAAAGGAAAGGAAAGGAAAGGAAAGGAAAGGAAAGGAAAGGAAAGGAAAGGAAAGGAGAGAAAAGCAAAGAAAAGGAAAGGAAAGGAAAGGAAAGGAAAGGAAAGGAAAGGAAAGGAAAGGAAAGGAAAGGAAAGGAAAGGAAAGGAAAGGAAAGGAAAGGAAAGGAAAGGAAAGGAAAGGAAAGGAAAGGAAAGGAAAGGAAAGGAAAGGAAAGGAAAGGAAAGGAAAGGAAAGGAAAGGAAAGGAAAGGAAAGGAAAGGAAAGGAAAGGAAAGGAAAGGAAAGGAAAGGAAAGGAAAGGAAAGGAAAGGAAAGGAAAGGAAAGGAAAGGAAAGGAAAGGAAAGGAAAGGAAAGGAAAGGAAAGGAAAGGAAAGGAAAGGAAAGGAAAGGAAAGGAAAGGAAAGGAAAGGAAAGGAAAGGAAAGGAAAGGAAAGGAAAGGAAAGGAAAGGAAAGGAAAGGAAAGGAAAGGAAAGGAAAGGAAAGGAAAGGAAAGGAAAGGAAAGGAAAGGAAAGGAAAGGAAAGGAAAGGAAAGGAAAGGAAAGGAAAGGAAAGGAAAGGAAAGGAAAGGAAAGGAAAGGAAAGGAAAGGAAAGGAAAGGAAAGGAAAGGAAAGGAAAGGAAAGGAAAGGAAAGGAAAGGAAAGGAAAGGAAAGGAAAGGAAAGGAAAGGAAAGGAAAGGAAAGGAAAGGAAAGGAAAGGAAAGGAAAGGAAAGGAAAGGAAAGGAAAGGAAAGGAAAGGAAAGGAAAGGAAAGGAAAGGAAAGGAAAGGAAAGGAAAGGAAAGGAAAGGAAAGGAAAGGAAAGGAAAGGAAAGGAAAGGAAAGGAAAGGAAAGAGGAAAGGAAAGGAAGGAAGAGACCTACACCACCACCAAAACTATGTTTTTTTTTTTTTCTTTTTAAAGGGATGGTTTTTGGTTTGCTTGTTGATTGATTTGTTTTCCTTAGCTGCTCATGTTGCTAGGTTCTCCGCATTTATGCTGGACATCCGAATCTGAGAGCTGCTCTTGCTCAGAATGGAGAGTTGTGTCCCCCCGTTCACTCCGCTGCTCGCTAGAGAAGGATGACGATGTTTGAAATCCACAGCAAAATACCGGTTGACTTTCCAGCTCCTCCATTTTCTCTTTATTTCTGATTGCACCTTTAGGGAGAAACTTCAAAAGGTCATTTTTTATGTACTTAGCCGCTCGAGGACATGCTGACAAATTATTAAGTTTAGAAAAAAAACCCACAATTTGACAGACTTATTAAACTCCTCACTTCAGCAAAATCTGAAGTGACTTCTCCATGTCTGAAAGAGGTCCAGGCATGCACTGGGAATAACAGCCTAGGTTCTATGTCTCTGACTTAGATAATTTAGGATCAGCCCAGAGGTGCATAGAAGACCTGGTCAACACTAATTCCAACATGTTTCTTTAGCTAGCTTCTTGGAAAAAATATCCTGTTTTCATCAATGGCCACTACCAAATACATAACAAGGAGTTTTCATTCATCACCAATTTCCTGGTAATCTTGCAAGGTATGCATGTGTGTACATATATACATAAGATAGTAAGGATTTAATATAAGATCATACTAGTTCAGACCAACATTTACTCAGTCTATTACCCATTCCTGACAGTAACCTATAGCGTATTTCTGAATGAAATAGCATAAGAGCAAGGAAATACGTAGAGGTATTTTCTCAACATATTTTCCCAGTCTCCAATAAGCTGCTGTGTCAAAGGTGTTCTTGTCTTTAATAGTCATTGCTAGATTTTCCTAGACTAGTACAATTGTCAAAATGGATCAGCATATGCCAAAATGCTAAACAAGTGCTTCAACTGTATGGACACTAACTACAGGGAGGAAAAGTCCAACTGGAAAACTTACATTCTCCTTCTAGTACCTCTACATTTCTGTTTTGGTTAGAGTATAGATAGGTGTAGGTTAGATAGAGTATGGAGGTATATTACCTCTGTAAAAAGAAAATAGTGTTTGTATCTATAAGAGTGTAATATGCCAAAGGTGAACCCTTTCTTACCCTAAGTAATTTAGTGGAAGCACAAGTCATTCTCTAATGTCTTGAGAGGTAAAATGATTTTAATTAATCTGGTTGTGTTAGTTGGCTAAGAACAGCCGCCCCCTTCCAAGGGGTAACAGGAAATCTGACACACTGTGCATGTTACCTTGGAAAGTGCTTATCTCCGTACCACTTCTAGACAAGACCTTCTGGCTATTCTTTTAGCACTCATGGAAGATAATAGATGAAAAAACAGTTGTAGGTGGGAGGGGTGGATATCCAGTAATTCCAGCTGGTGAAGTATGAATGCAAGCCACTAATTCCAGCAAAGCATGATCCGGAATTCACTTTCTGAGCTACATGGGACTGAGCCACAAATAATGTTTTAACATTTGCCTATGAGTCCTTTAACAGTCACCTTGACTAAGCCCATAAGCAAAGGTGACCTACAAGACTGTTTAATGAACTTGAAGAGATTGTTATAACTACTTGAGAAGGAATCACTTGGATCAAGGAGTTAGAGACCTTTTGTACTAGAGACCAGCTATTGCATACTGTATGTGAACAAGCACAGAACACTTACTGCACTAAAACTGGTAGAAATAAATGGTCTCAGCCTCCTTGAAAAGAAAAAAAGAAGGTGATTTTAGGAGAAGTCTTCTCCTGTTGGACTGCATAACAGATGTATATCAGTGGAGGAGAGAATGGATGAACTGTATATATTCCTTTTAAGGCAGCATTGAGGAGGGAGTCTTTTTCCATTAATTCAGAAAACAATTATCTCATGTATTCAGTCTGATAAACAAAGGCAGGGGAATTTCAATTGGCAGATCGGAACAGGTCAATCAGAAAACAAACAAACGTGGGAAACTGATGCTAGCAGGAGCAGCAGCAGTTGCCATGTGCTGAGACGATGTGAGGCTTGGAAGGTACCCGGGGGGTACCTGAGAGGGTTTCTGGGCATCCGACATTCTTGGGCTGTGCGTGTGGAGGGACCGGCTGGCAGGAGTCAGGTCTCACGAGAAGAGTGGGCAACAGTTGGATGGTGCCAGCTGTCCCCATGGCCAGGTCACACTGTGGGAAACTGCATATAACCTGGGGAGCGCCCGACCAGGAGTGCAAACAGGGCACAGCATTTGTTGGGAGCGGCAATAGCAACAGGGCACGGCATCTGTTGGGTGTAGCATCAGCAACAGGGCACGGCATCTGTTGGGAGCGGCATCAGCAGTTTGTGCGACAGTTCACGCAGGAAGGGCTGCGCACTCTGCCAGTCGTTGGGCTGCTGCCTGCTCTGCTCACCTGCAGGCTTAGGCTGGAGCCCTGATGATCACCCGAGCTAGCTGGTGGCTGTGCAGGCCTACCAAATGGCTTGAGGTCTCCAGGGAATTAGAAGGATTTATTAGGCAGTACTTTGAGATTTTTGGAAGCATGGTGGTAGAGACCAGGTAAGGGCTGAGCTCTGCAGCAGACAGGAATCAGCTACCTAGCCGGGCTAGCCTGGGAAGAGTGGAGGCAGCCACCCAGACAGAGCTTCCTATCATGGAAGCTGCTGTCCATGTGGAGGGATGCAAAGACTGCAACCCTGTCTCCTGGGTAGAGGAGGGTGGAAGCTCCACCTGCTCAAGATGGGCTCTGGTGGAGTCATTCAGGCAGCAGGTGGAGGAGCTGCAGGAGGACATTAGCAGGCTATGCTGTGTTAGGGAAGGTGGACAAGAAAGAGTATTATCTGAGACTTTGCAAGAAGAAATATTAGGGCCCCGTGGCACTGACCTCCAAGGACTACCAGACAAAGAGCTTCAACAGAGAACAGACAGCACCTTGCAAAAAGAGGTGGCATGGTCTCTGGTGATCCTGTGAGAACAGATTATCACTTCATTCTCCTTCTTCTTATGTACCACCCAGCAACAGTTATTAAGCCTTGTCAGCGGACAAAACCAATGAACTATATTCACAGGGAGAAACTGTACCAACAGCACATACTAAAAGCTGCAAAAGGAAGCGGCGAGTGCTAGTAGTGGGTGACTCTCTGCTGGCAGGCACTGAGGCACCCGTCTGTCAGCCTGATATGCAGTCAAGTGAAGTTTGCTGCTTGCGAGGAGCCAAGATCCAGGATATCACAGAGAGAGATCACAGACTACTATCCCCTACTTCTTTTCTATGTGGGCACCAATGACACAGTGAAGCAAAGCCTGGCCGAGATCAGGCAGGACTTCAGAGCCCTGGAGGCGCAAGTAAAAGGGACAGATGCCCAAGTGATCTTCTCCTTTGTCTTGCCAGACAGAGATAGGGGTGCAGGCAGAAGTCGATGCATCATGCAGATCTATACCTGGCTTCATGGCTGGTGTCATTGCCAGGGTTTTGTTTTCTGCAATCACAGGACATTCTTCAGTGAATACAGCCTATTGGGGAGAGATGGGATACACCTACCTAGAAAAGCCAGGAGAATCTTCACTAGCAGATTGGCTGACTTAGTGAATTGTGCTTTAAACTAATGAACTTGGGGGGTAGTGTCCAAAGCTGTGACATCTGCATATTTATAAGCAGCAGGTTGGATGAGTTCACCTACCAGAGTAGTGAGGAATGCTCCCCCAACCCTCTCCGAAGACAAGAACCCTAAGTCCAAGTTTGTATATACCAAGGCATGTAGTTTGGTCAGCAAACAGGAGAAACTGAAGCTCTGTGCCCAGTCAGAGAGTTATGATATTATAGAAAACACAGAAACTTGGTGGGAAAACTCATGACTGGAAGACCACAGTGGATGGCCACAAACTCTTTTGGGAAAATAGGAACGGAAGAAGAGAAGGTGGAGTTGCACTTTACGTAAAACAGAAATTTGAGTGTATGGAGGTGAGTTATGGAGACCACAAAAGTTCTGTGGAATGGCTTTGGATCAAGATTAGAGGAATCGTCACCAGCGGGGATCTTTTGTTAGGTATCTGTTACCGACCTCCCTATCAGGATGACGAGGCTGACAAAACCTTACTTCAGGTGCTTAAGGAAGTCGTAGGCCAACAGAACCTGGTTCTCATGGGTGACTTAAATTACCCAGACATTTGTTCGGAAAACAACTCAGTGGTACACAAGTCCTCCATCAGGTTCTTGGAGTGTATTGAGGATTGCTTCCTGCTACAGATGCTGGACATGTCGACTAGGAACAGCGCATTGCTAGATTTACTACTTACAAACTAAGAAGGCTTACGTGACAACATAACTAACTACCAATTGTAGCCTTGGATACAGTGATCATAGCATTGTGCAGTTTAAGGTACTGCTGAGCACACTGAAGACCAGTAATAGGACAAAACCCTGGATTTTAAAAGAGCCAATTTCAATATGCTCAGAGCTCAGCTGCGAGGGATTCCATGGGAAGCATCCATGGAGGGCAAAGAAGCTTGTGAGTGCTGGGAAGAAGGCTCAAGAACAGCTCCCTGGAAGCACAAAAACAGTCCATCCCCTACAAAGGGAAAGGAAGAAGGTAGAATAAGAGACCAGCTGTCTTAACAATGAGCGTTTGCTTAAAAGCAAAAAAAGAAGCATATCAGCTACAGAAAGGCAGCCAAATACCAATCAAGGACTACAAGAACCTTGCTAGGGCATGCAGAGAAACAGTCAGGAAGGCTAAAGCTCAGCTCAGAAAATGGCCAAAAAAGTCAAGAACAACAAGAAAGGTTCTTCAGATATGTGAGCAGTAAGCAGAAGCACAGGGAAGACATAGGCCAATTGCTAAACAGCACAGGGAAACTAGTGACTAATAATGCTGACAAGGCAGAGGTTCTCAATATCTTCTTTGTCTCTGGTGTATCTGGATCCCAGGTCAAAGGATCAAGTAGCTACAACAACACATGCGCCAACTTACCAGTAATGGAGAAAGGTCTGGTCTGTGGCCTCTTGTAGGGGCTCAACCCACATAAATCTATGGGACCAGATGGAATCCACCCCAAAGTGTTTCAAGGCCACTGTCTATAATATTTGAAAAGTCATGGAGATCAGGGGATATCCCTGATGCCTAGAAGAGGGCAAATGTCATACCCATCTACAAGAAGGGCCCAAAAGAGGTTCTGTTCTGTTCCATTCCATTCCATTCCATTCCATTCCATTCCATTCCATTCCATTCCATTCCATTCCATTCCATTCCATTCCATTCCATTCCATTCCATTCCATTCCATTCCATTCCATTCCATTCCATTCCATTCCATTCCATTCCATTCCATTCCATTCCATTCCATTCCATTCCATTCCATTCTATTCTAAAGAGGACCCAGGAAACTACAGGCCCATTAGTCTTACTTCAGTCCCTGGGAAAATAATGGAACAAGACCTAGAAACTATCACAAACCAAATGAAGCGGGGTGATTGGGGAAAGCCAGCAAGGATTTACCAAAGGCAAATCATGCCAGACTAACCTGATCATCTTCTACAACAAAATAATGTTTTCTGTTGACATGGGGAGAGCAGTGGATGTTGTTTATCTGGACTTCAGCAAAGCATTTGACATTATTTCCCACAGCCTTTTCCTAGGCAAACTGGCAAGATATAGATTTGGTGGGTGGTCTGCAAGATGGGTAGGAGATTGGCTAACAGGCCACACTTAGAGGGTGGTGAACAGTGTTTTTTACTCATGCTGGCAGCCTGTTACTAGCAGGGTCCTCCAGGGATTGATACTGGACTCCACACTGTTCAACATCTTCATAAATGATCTGGATGATGGGATTGAACACACCCTCACCAAGCTAGCTGTTGACACCAATCTGGGTGGTGAGGTGGACATGTCAGAAGGGAGAGCCACCTTACAGAGAGATCTGAACAGGCTGGAAGAGTGGGCTAGCAAGAACTGTATGAAGTTTAACAAAGACAAGTGCAAAGTTCTGCACCTGGGATGACATAACCAAAGAGCCCAGTACAGTCCCTACCTCTGTTAGGGAGCATTAATCTGAGTCATCATCTCTAGCAAGGCCAATGTTTTGGTTTAATAAAGACATCACACATCCTCTTTCTTCTGTTGAGACAATGTGAGATTCAACCTAAGGTATTAGGGAATATGGTAGATGATGAGTTACAGTGAAGGATTAGAATAGCAGTTACTCCCACAAGGAAATGGGATGGGGATGGTGGGTGAGGGAGGTTAAATACTAGAAGTCTTACCTCCCCATTCAAGAAACAATAGAGAACAGCAACAACAAAACCCTAGGTAAATGGGAGAGAAAGAAAAAAAATGTAATTCAAATCCTTCAGTAAATGCTGGAAAATAGCTGGCGTTAAAACAAACAAACAAAACCAAAATCCTAGTATACAAAACATATACATAAATAAACACACAGTCTGAGAACTGTGCATGCAAAGTAGTTACAACGAACAGAGATTTCTTTTTAACAAAAGCAGAATTCACTGTATAATCACCTGGAACGATCCCAGTCCCAATTCAAACACTAGTCTCTCCCGCTTACTGACATTTTCAGGAGAAAAAGCAAACACCGTGTAGTGAATTCCAAACAAGGGGATAAGCAGTAGTGTAGAGCGAGCCAGTCTCCTGTTACAATAGAGTGAAAGAACTTTAATGCAGCCTTGTAATAAACAACTTGTGCTTTAATTAAAGAAGAAAACACAGAAAATATTTTGTTGCCTCCCTTTCGGGAAATACATACACTGTATAATTATACAAACAAATATACAACATTCCCATTTGTTCCCAAACAGTGATTTCACACACACTGTAGTTTGCTCCCACTTCTTCACACTGCTACAATAACAGCACATTAGTAATGCTTAATACTCTGTACTGTTATTTTAATTTGCATTATTATAAGCAGAGATTTTTTCTACCATGCCAAACATGCGGAGGGTAATCTTGCTAAGGGATTCAGACTGCTACCATAACACAATAATAAACCTCTCACCCAATTGCTTAATCCCGGTGGAGTGTTTGAAATCACATTTTGTGTGTTTGTGTGTGAATTTCTTTCTGCATAGCAAAAAATTCCAAAACAGCAATACAAATAAAGGTAAAAAAGCCCTGTGTGTTCTTATACTCATGACTATTCCTCAAGGTCTTGATTTTGGTCTCATTTATACTGTTGGAAACCTAAGTGTAATTCCACGGTGCAACTAATTTCCACTGCATCACAATGAAGAGGATTTAGAGAGGAATCAAACTCGGTAGGTATAAACAAAAGGGCTGGAAACCAATGTGTGTCTCTGTAAGCACTTAACTGAGTATGGATGAAATTCCCCAAAAGCAGGGGTCCAGCCAAGACTTATGCATCAGTTTTGGTCAGTGTCATTTGCTGACTGAGCAGCAAAAAAGACCCGAGAGAAAGCCAATGTTGATCTGAAAATAAGGCAAGTGCTTTATTATAAACAAAGTGGCCTATAGTAACATCATTTTCAAAGGGGAAAAAATAAGACTGATTTCCTTCAAGTAAGTTAAGGAGGTAGATGGGAAGACAAAAGATCTAAAAAGCCATAAAGATTTTTGGAAGAGCTGCATACTTTTTCAATTTCAAATGTTCACTTTGCTTATATCTATATGGCATATTGCAGACACATTTGAATTTGCAAATACGTGCTCAACAATATCCCAAAAATGATGTGTTTGTCTTACTGAAAGTGACGACTTAATTAATACATCTCCAAGAACTCTGTGATCATATGTTGTTATATCCAATACCAAACTGGAAATGGGATATCTGTTCATTGCTGGTGTCCCTCAGTCGTACTTTGTGCACTAAGGCTGATAAACACATCACAACACTTGTCTTGAGATTGTGCTAAACACCTATGATTCATTAGTCTGATGCACACCAAATCTCAAGTCTTGGTGAAAGACTCCACAAACCAGAGGACACAGTTCTTGTGAATTATCAAGTTAGACATTGACCAGAAGTTTTTTAACAGGAGACGAACAACCTTGGAACAGGTTGATGAAGAAAACACAGAGTCTCCAATTTTGGTGATCTCTCGAAAAAGTAAGCGATACAGGAGTGACATAGTGTAGTAGACTGAAAGACCTTTCAAGGTCCCTTCTAGTCCTTTTTCTCTATGGACATGTAATCAGATTAATGAAAAGGAACAGAAACATTGTGGAAAAGATTGTAGAATAATATTATCTCCATAAACAAAAAAAGATGTAAAGAACATATATGTCTTAAACTAGACATGGAATAAAAAAAATAAAAATAAAATGAAGGTAGTAAACTGGACAAAGAAGTATCATCTCTCAAAATCTGTTACCCTTTATATTCAGAATTAATGACAACAACAACAAAAGGATAAATGTTATTTTGATTTAAAAGTCAGACTAGAATTGTCTATTAGTATGTTGTATCTCACTGCAGTCATAAGAGATTAATTTTGGGAAGGATGCGGAGGAAGACTTTTCTATTGTCAGTTTTCTGGCATCAATTATATCTGATTAATCATACAATTAGTTTGTAGGATCTTGAAATACAATGTCATCATCAACTTATTTGAGATACCGTCTTCAATATTGTCATAAAAGTCAGGAAGAAAATACATGAAATGTAAGAAGTAACACATTGTGAAGTTTATAGATGATTAAGATCTACAAAGAGGAAAAGAAGAATTTAATTATAAGAAAAACTTGAGATATTATTAATGACTGTGTGGATGATGATGAATTGTGTTTTTTCAAGAGGATTAGGAAGAAAGAAGACTTAAAGCAGTACCTGCGATACATCTAAGTTTACGTGCAATGGTGAAATGAAGATGTTAAAGAATACAGCGAGATTCTCAGGAGTGTAACAGCCAAAGATATTCATCCTCTTATCTTCCCACAAACTCAGGGGACAGATCCGAAAGGCTTGAGGACAATAATGACTCAGTTGGGCTTAAACTGGCTGTTTAGAAGAGATATGTTCTCCAAAAGGTTTAGCAAAAGCCTTGTTTACTTTCCCACAGTTAGAGGAATGTCTTAAGGTTACTGTATAAGAAAGCGAGTTGTATTTCAATTTTTGTTGAGGCTGACATTCTATTTTTCAGCTGTTATTTTCCTTAAAAACAGTTTAAACATGAGATTTTCCCCAATAGCATGGCTATTGGCCTTTCCATAAAGCGTTAGTACAAAAAGACACAAGTAATGGTGTCCTCTGTTTTTCCTCACTCCTCTATTGAATAACGGAAAGACATCTTTATAGTAAAAGGAATAGAAAGTAGAAACGTTGTCTAACTTTGACCAGTATCTGAATGAAGCATGTCTTTATTTTTCCATTGCACATCCACACTTATTAAGGAGATTGCTGAAGTGCCTATGAATATTACATAGGACATAACGGGGCATGAATTGGAAATGAAAATGCACATCACATTGCATTGCTGAGTAGAATTTTCAGTGATTTCTACTGAATGTTCCAGTGTGTTCATATTCTGCATTTTAAAACGGGTTTCTAGAAGACAAATTAATGCTGTGATCCAAACAAACACAGTAACTGTACATCAGATGAAAAAAAAAATATTTTGAGCAGCTGTGCAATAGAGAGCGAGGACCAATGAGTTCTAAATGGTCTAAATAGGTTCTTCCAGCTTCTGTGAATGGGATGTAACAAAGATATATCTCCGGATTCAGAACCTGCAGATACAACTGTAAGCACTGCTGAGCTGGATATGTGATGATGCCATTTGGAATAAATGAAGGAGGCCATCAGAAAACATGGGTCCTCTACATCGGGGGACCTGAAGCTCTAGAAGAAATCATGTAAGGAAATTTGTGGTTGTCATTCTTTTTTCTGTTCTCTGAGAGAGAGGTGAAAACTGTAGCTTAGAGCATACTCTCCCATCAGTTCCAGGTATCTCCACTGCACTGAAGATGTGTCTTGTGCTATTTCTGCTGGGACTGTAGCTGCTTCTGTTGGACCAATTGCAAAGTCATGTAGCTCAAAAAAGCCGTTGTAACTTACATAAGATTTGAAGATGACACTGTGTGCTATTAAGGTAAGGGTAAAATACAGAATAACTTTTACTCTGGCAAAGAGTTTATTGCCTTGATCTTAGAGGTTCTCACCACACAACTTTTTTGAGACAAAACATCACAGACTGTCAAAAGAAGCAAAAGATCTTCAAACCATAGCCTTTGAAGAAAGACTATGTAGTTGTTGTTTTGCTATTTAGGCCTGCCTCTTCAAAGTAAGAGAATTGTTCAGTTTAAATGTTGAGTCTTAAGTGAAATTAAATTGATTAAATATAAACTTTTGCAGAGAAGACATCAAGGTCTGTGGTAGTAATGTAGAACAACATTCATCTCACCAAGGTTTGGACATACATACTGTAGATATCTATATCGAAATTATTAGCGTAATGTCTCTAAAGCCAATGCAGAGAAAAATGCACTTTCAAGGCATAGTTCTTGCCTGTTACAGATGCCTCTTTAAGAAGATGTGACTCTTGTTGTAAACCCCATGAGTATGTACTGATTACATCTATTGATGTACATATTGGCTAGCTTAAAGTTATGAGGTATCTGCAATGATGACACCTATTTTTAATTAAATTAATTCCACACCTACATTGCCTTTATTGTCAATGAAGAGTAACAGGCACTTATGCACAAGGACGAATCACCTGTCCCTAAGGAAGGCCTTATCACATCCTAAGTCTCTCCATTGACTACCAAGGGGATCTGGACTGAGTTTGTCATATAAATTGCGGCTCTGTAGGCTTGTAAAGTTTAGATTAAAGGAATCTCATCTTTTTGGCCATAACTCAGTGATGAATATGTACAAAAAATAATCATGGCAATATTTAAATAGAAGTTTAAAGAGCAAATCGTGAAGATACAGGATGTCATTAGTGATGAAATGCTTAATATAGCTCATGTTTAATAAACCAAAGTATCTGTTTTATCAAAAGGATGCTAAACAGAGTTAACATCTGACTTTCAGGAACCTCAGTAATCTCTCTGACAGATACATGTCTTTTCCAAAAGCTTAATTAGATCTGTAGGATCACTTTCAAAGACCTGAGGTAACACCTAAACACAGTAATTGATTACAGCTTTTTAATTTCCCCATGCATAAATCACATCTTCAGACTAAAGGACTCGAAAAGCAGTGGAAGCTTACTGAGACTTTCGTATTTTAGCACAAAAAAAAAGGTTTAATTATGTTTTTGGAAGTGTACAGAGTTTTTCTAGGCTCCTGTTTAGGCTGAACTCTTCTTGCCATTGACTAGGTAGAGGATTTCACCTTAGATGGTTGCCAGTCTGCCATCTTTCTGAAACACTGCACTTACCTAATGGGAAATTTGTTTCTCTGCAAAGGCCCAACATGAAGTCTATGCTGCATCAGGTTATATATTAAGTAGTGAACTTCATATTTCAAACTATCTCCTCCTAAATTTAAGTCCTAGTTTTACCTAACTCTTCTTAGACTTCAAGTTTCTCTCAATGTAGGATATGGACCTGCTGACTGTTCTTCTATTCTCCATTTCTTCTATCTGCTTTTGCACAATGTCAGTCTGTTGACTGAATCTTTTCAGCATTTTCTTTGGTCTATTTCTTAAATACCTTGAGGAGATGTA